AAAGGTTCAGGCGGTGGAGTGCCTTTACTACTCAAGCTACAGTGTGACGGAGACTAAGTAACTCCTATGTTTACTTTAGTCACTCCCTCAAACTTAGTATGGAGCCTAAAAGGTATGAGTCGTCTGCCTGTTTTTAGCAAACAGGGGCTCTCAACCACTACTCCTGCTAGGTTAACAACCTGAGTTATAGGCCAACAAACATTGGTGAATAAAGGGGAACAACCGGTACCAACCGCTTGATACCTCTACTACTCAGTTACTTGGCAACTAGGTAACAATCATGTTTACTTGGTCAAACCACTTTCCTACTTGGTAAATTTTACAAATGACAGGACCGCCTGCCTAAAGATATCCAGTCTTTAAAATGGTTCGAATACCGATTGGATAAATGGCCGACTGATCGTCTATCCTGGAAACAGACAACCAGTCGTCCAGGGGCATAGGCGGCGTGACTAACTATTCGTACCTGTCTGCAACTATCGGCCATGTAAAACAGTCGGTATAATGTACAATTGGATATCAGAATATTTAATACTTAAAAAAATTTGAAGCAAAACAAAAAATTCATTAAAAAGAAGCCGGTCATCAAAGACCGGCAAAATATTCAGAGCCCGGCCCCCTGGCCGGGTAAATACAAAACAAACGGCACGCAGGCCGTGGAAAGAAGACATAAAGCTTAAGAAGGGGGCAGATCTTCAATATTAGTAGCTGCCGCCTGGTCAGCACTCTTCTTGCTGGACTCGGCTTCAGCTGCATCCTTCTTTGATGCATTACCCCCAAGCGGCACAAGCGCCACTACCGGCTCCTCCTCCAACGCTTCCTCCAACGCCTCTTCCTCAGCAGCCGCCAGGATCTCTTGATTATATGTGTTAGAACACTGGCGGTACGTTTTTTCCCATGAGGCAAAGTCGGCATTGGGGAAGAGGCGGCCCCAAGTCATGCGCTGGATTTGAGCAGAGTCTTCCATCATCTCCCGGACCAGCTCTTTCTTTTCTTGCTCGGCCTTTCCCGAGAGCTCCTGAGTAAGACTCTTCTCCTGGGTCACCAGGCGTTCCTTTACGTTGGCCAAGGATTTCTCCAAGGCTTCGTATGAGGACATCTTGTGGCGAAGAGGTCTCAGCTCGGCCTTGAGGTTGTTGATGGTCGCCTCCAGCTCGCCATTCCTCTTCTGGGCCGCCTCTAACTGAGCCCGGATAGCGGCGGTAGCCTGCGCCTGATAATAAAGAATATCAATGGTCAAAACTTCATTTTGGGCAATTTGAAACATTGCCTTATCACAGTCAGAGGCGGCCATAGCTTTTGCAGCCTTTACCTCTTTGTTCTTCCGGTCAAGCGGCTTGCGAAGGCCGTTCACTCGGAGCAGGGCCTAAGTAAAAAGGGGAACAGGCGTCAGTTTCCAAACAAAAAGAAAACAGGCGTCCTGGAATTCAAATACTCAAAAATATGCTAAGTATACCTCAACAAGGACCCCTGCAATCCCGTCTAGGTCAAGGGTGCCGACACCCCTGACCGCCTCCCTTTCAGCTGGAGGAACGGCCTTGATCATAGACTTGGCAACCTCTACCAAGTCTGAGGGCCGGCTGCATCAAGCATAAACAAACGGATTAGACCTAGTAAAGGGAGCAAGTCTAAAATTTACAAGGACAACTTCATACTTCTAGGCGGCCCAGCTGGAGTTTTAGAAGAAGTGGCCGGCTGTTTCTCAGCCGCCGCATGTTTCCTGGCAGAACCAGGAGAGCTCGCAACAGTCGTCCTCCGGGCCTTGGGGTCCGGCTGTTGGGGAGAAGAAGCTCTTGGAGCACCCGTCTAAAAAAGAAGAAAAAAGTCAGTATACGCATAAACACAACTCCAAAAAGAGGGTGAAAGGTTCGAAGCCCACCAAGGGTGCCCCCTTGTTGGGGGAGTCGGTTGAAGCTTGTTGCATGATGGAGGCCCGCAACATGACCGCCGCAGTCTTGGAGGCGGTAATTTTGCTCATGGCGTCCGCTGCAAAAACAAACAGCAAAGTTAATAAAAGTTATAACAAAAATGCACGGAACAGCAGAGTATTCGACAGGCCGACTACCTCTTGAGGACCGACTGCTGAGGCCACAGGCGGCCAAAAAGTACTCGTCGTAGAGCCATTTGAAGCTCGGGACGCAGTGCAGGGGTACTTGCTCTCGTACCCCTGAAGTAGAGTCGACCCTCGACTCTACTTTAAAGAGTCCTTTATCCAGATCTCTTTCTTAGCTTTGGGGGAACAGGCGGCATGCTGCGGCCGCCTGCAAGAAGGGGCGGATTCCTGTTCCACCTGTTGAGGCGCTTGTTCAGCTCTGTGTCTGAACTCTCAATGATGAAGGTGCACTGCCAGTCCTTCCATTTGTTTGCTTTACCTCTCGTCATGAGGTAGCCCCTGTGGCTCGTCAATTGATACCAGCCGGTACCGCCTGCCTTAGGGGTCCGGCTGAGGTAGTTCATGTGGGAGAAAGCCTCGAAACTCGGCTCCACCCCGTGCAGTTCGCACCCGGCCACATAGCCGAGTACGTTGACCCAGGAGTTCGGGGCTAACTGCCATAACCCCAACTCATACCCATCCAAGATCCGCTGAACAGCCGGATGTAATGGGAAGCGCAGCCCAGCCTTGATGGCCGCCTCGTAGCAGCCAAAGCAGGCGCTATCATAACTGGTACCAGCCGACCAGACGACTGTGTCTTCTGGATCCGGCACAAACACTAAAAAGTCGGGGCCCATTGTGTGGTTTGCGATAAAGCTCTCCACTTTCTCTTGCATGGCTGTGATCCGGCCCCGAGGTACCGTGCAGTAGTAGGGGGTATTTTGCTCTCGGTAAGAGGCTGATGGCTCCGCCCAATAGTCCCCCTTCTCAACTGCGTGAGAAAGCCTCGCCTCTTGAAGGCTACTGTTTTTCTCTTCTGTGTCCAGAGAAGGAAGAGCTAGACTCGGAATCGTCCTCTGACGAGTCCGAAGAGGACGACTCCTCCCCTCTCCCGGAGGGGCCCGCCTCCTCTCTTTTAAAAGGAGCAGGAGAGAATGAAGAATTGTCAACTGTGAAATGGGAAGGGGTCACTTTGATTCCTCCCTCAGAACAGCCGGCTTTCAAGCCGCTTTGTTTCACTTCCACATCTGGCGCCTGGTCAGATGTTTCACTAATCGGCACCCTGTGGGAGGAGCCGTCTGAATTTGAGATCCTGGCAGTCTTTTTTGTTCTGGCCATCATGCTCTGCATAGACACAGACAGTCGGACTTTGTATAAAGTGCAAAGATGGATCCGGAAAAGGGCAGGCGGCACTCCTAGTCCTAGATTTAGCCGTCCCCGGTGACCGGCTGATCACTAACCTAGGTCGTGTCGTGTGCTTCCGTGGTGCCATTTCAAAAAAGAATAAAATAAAGAGAAAATTAAGAGTAAGAGAACCGACGGTTACCTGAACAAGTGACGTTGATGGAGTTATGAAAATCTTGTGCAGTCGGCTTGTCAGAGCAGGCGGTAGGCAGAAAGGGTCCAAAATGTCAGAGCAAGTTCAGGGGTCCGAATGTTCTCTCACAAAGTTCTCAAGTGTGAAAATGACTGAAGTCAACACTCCTTTATATAGGTGAAGTGAGAAGGCTAAGGGTCACTTCCAGAATTCAAAATTTGGGCGGGAGAATCTCTCGGCCTTTCGCCGAGTGACACCTGTAGCAGGCCGTCGCCTGTTACAGTGCGACACCTGTCACAAGTAACACGTGACCAGTCACGTGCCACTTGTGAGGGGCAAATGATTAGGGGATTTTGCTCCCACCAATCGGAATGCGCCACGTGGGCCAATCAGGTCCTGCCAAGTGTCCCCCAGTTGGAACTGTCAGGGCTTGCCACGTGGCACGCGCTTATTCGTCCACCTTGGACCTATTATGTCATGACACGTGGCATACTCCATGCCTAATGGAGAAACCGGCCACCCAGGCCCAACTTCCGAGGGAAGCCCAATCAGCCCTAGGTTAACCTAAACCTAGGATTGGCACGTTTCCCAAGGTTATAAATACCTCCCTTAATCCTCATTAAGGGGGGATTACGGAGATAACAGGCTGATCACGCTAACAAAGCAGATTACCTACATTAAACACTCTCACCTAGAGAGACCCAATCACTTTTATTTCCGCATTAATTACTCCTTAAACAAGTACTAACTTGACCGTTGGAGGCGGAGCTCCCACCACCAGGAGTCTCCGTTGTTTTGCAGGTATAGGCGTCTGGTTCCAGTCTCGGAATTGTAACTCTCCCGCAGGACATCAGAAAACCCCGAAACAGGTTTGAATAGTTGCTCTATCCAATTTTTTATTTTACTCTTCAGTCTACACTCCTTTTCTCACATGACAGCCTTGGAACTTTTCTCCAACTTTTGTTTTCTTTATGAAGTTTTTTATTTTTGTATTGCTTTTCTTTTACCATTTTATAACAATAATAATAGCATTTGGGTATGGGGTCTTTTACTTTTCTTTCCAGTTCATCTCTCTCTTAAAAATTAGTACAAGCACTTTATACAGCAAATTTTTTGATAAAATTCATGGATGTTAATAGCCTATACTTGTGACTATATCAATACAATGAGCTGCATACTTGCATTCAACTAAAAGTTCAAAGCAATTGAAATAATGGGCAATAATGGGCCTAGTTTATACTTGGCCTTGTTTAAACACAATTTTTTTTCAATGTAAATTTGTAGTTTACTTACACCAAAAATAATTGAATTTTTTAAAGGGACCTAAAATTTATACGGAGTATTTAGCACGGCGCTCATAGTGCTTCAGACAGCTCTGACATTATCCTTAAAAACTGAAATAATTGAATTTTCTAAATTTGCTTTCAAAACATGCAAATTATGTAGAAAATTCAACTCACCTCCTTCAATTTCAGACAAGAAAAAAAATATATATAAAATTACGCAATCAACAAACAATTGAACCAAGCTAATCAAAGATAAAAATAAATAAATAAATAAAGAAAGAAAGAAAAAAAAAACTTAAATTACCTGAGGCATTTGCCAAGAATCAGGTATATCTAGCCTAGAAGCAGAAAAAATCTGCAAAATAGAAATTAAATCAACAAAAATGTAACATGAAAAAAAAAAATAAAAAAAAAATAAAAAAATAAAAAAATTTAAGGGAAATAAAGAAGAGACCTTTTTAGAGGGGTTGATGAGACAAATACCGACATTTCTTCGGTAACCCTCGGGAGGAGACTCCATTGAAGATGAAGAAGAAGAAGAAGAAGAAGAAGAAGAAGAAGAAGAGCGAAGAGTGAGGAAGTTGTGAGTGAAGGAGAGAGAAATTGTGTTGTAAGGTTGATGGGTTTGTGAAGAAGAAGAAGAGAATGTAAGGGATTTCTGCAGAATCTGGAATTGATGATGATGATGATGATGGCGAGTGTTGATGGAGATGAATCGGAGCAGAGCCATTCCACACTATGGTATTAGCCCATGGGAATATACTAGTAGCAGTTCAAATATTGTTTATTAGGGGCAAAATTGGCATAATTTGAGATTAAAAAAAAAAAAAAAAAAAAAAAAAAAAAAAAGTAAAATCGCTGACGGTTTTGTTTCATTATATGACATGAATCAGTTTTATTTTGGAGCTTTCTGGATGTCCTGCGGGAGAGTTACAACTAGGGGTGTTCAAAAAACCCTGACCCGGTTGTCCTGTTCCGATTATCGATGACCCACAAAAACCCGATGGGAAATTAACAAATTTTTTAGTTTTTTCGGGTCGGGTACCCGTCCCACTAAAATAGAAGTTTCGTGGGACGGGACATGGGACAAGCTTTGCTAATTTCGGGTACCCGGATACCCGTTAAAATATATATATATAAACTGTTTGAGTGAGGTTTTCAAGTGGGTACTGTAGAGAAAAGAGTAAAGTTAGAGAGAGAAACACGTGGGCACCGTAGCCATTGTTTCAATTGAGAGCTTGAGTGAAACACAGTGAGGACTTCCAACAAATTGAGAGTATCCATGGCTACAAATGGGATTTCCACCACTTCCCAGCCGCTAATTCCTATTTTTGATGGTGATAAGTATGAGTTATGGTTAATTAAGATGAAGACTCTCTTCAAATCTCAAGAATTATGGGAGTTTGTTGAAGATGGATATGATGATAAAGAAAATGATGAATAAAAATTAAAGCAAAATAATAAAAAAATTAAAAAAAAATTAAAAAAAAAATAAAAAGATGCTAAAGCCTTATTTTTTCTCCAACAATCAGTGAGTGATTCTCTCTTCTCACAAATTGCTTTTGCAACTTCATCCTAGGAAGCTTGGCAGACTATAAATGCATGGGGCGGAGCCAAATTTTGAGGTGTTCGCCCAAATGAACTACCTTAGCCGGACCCCCCAGGCAAGCGGTACCGGCTGGTACTAATTAACTAGTCATAAGGGCTACCTTATGACCAAGGGCAAAGAAATAAATGGAAGGATTGGAGAAACACCTTCCTCATCATCTCCAGCCCCGACCGCCTGCTGAACAAACGCTACAATAGGTGGAACAGGGATCCGCCTCTTTTAGCAGGCGGACGCAGCATGCCACTTGTTCCCCTCAAGGCCAGGGAAGAGATCCTGGACCGAGGGCTTTTTAAAGTAGAGATTAGGGCAAACTCTACTACTGGGGTGCGAGCAAGTGCCCCTAAACTGCGTCCCGGAGTTTCAATGGCTCTATGACGAGTTTTTCCTGGCCGCTTGTGGCCTTAGCAGTCGGTCCTCCATAGGTAGCCGGCCACTTGAATATATGCACCCCTTTTTTAATTTGTTTGAAAATTTTTCTAGCTCTTGTGGTTCTTATTTGTAGCTGAAGCTATTGACCAAATCTCTGCCTCCAAGAAGGCGGATGCAATGCTGCGAGCCTCAATTATGCACCAGAAGCGAACCGCTTCTGATTCTCCTGCCAACCCATAGTGAGTTTCGATCCTTAGAACTTGCCTTTTAAAAAGCTGCTTAATAATTATTAACCACTCGTCTTTTTCGCAGACGGGCACTTCCAAACCCTCACCCTCCCACCAACCGGACTCAAAGGTTCGGAAGACGACTGGTGGGAGTACGCCTGGATCTGCCAGGAAACAATCGGATGACAAGCAGCCGGCTACCCCACAAAGTATGGGGAACCCATCACTTGTTCTTACACGGCCGCCGAGAAGTATAACCTGCTCTGCTAGACTTGCTTATTTCTTTATCACTCTCTTCATGTTTCTGATGTTTTTCTTTGTTTTTGATGCAGGCGGCCCTTCAGAACCGGACTTGGTCCAAATGGCCAAGTCCATGATAAAGGCCGTCCCTCAAGAGGAGAGGGATGCGGTCAAGGGAGTCGGCACCCTTGACCTAGACGGCATCATGGGTCTCCTATCTGAGGTAGACTTAGAATATTTTTCAACTTTATTAATTTGCATGCCGCCTGCTTTTTGTTAATCTGACGCCTGGTTTTTTTCTTTTTTAGACCATGTTGAGAGTACACGGCCTGCGAAGGCCGATTAGTGCCAAGAATAAAGAGGTAAAGGCTGCTAAAGCTATGGCCGCCTCTGACGTTGATAAGGCAATGTTTCAAATTACCCAAAATGAAATTTTGACAACTGATATTCTTTATTATCAGGCGCAGGCCACTTCCACCATCTAGACTGAATTGGAGGTGGCCAAAAAGAAGAACAATGAGCTGGAGGCGAAGGTCAAGAGCCTTAACGATGAGCTGCGGCCCCTCAAAAACATTGCCCACAAAGCTGAAGGTCTGCAGACGTCCCTTGACAGACTCAAGGAGCGCCTAGAGACGCAGGAGGCGGCCATCACCAAAGATCTTAATGCAAAGGCCGAGGCTGAAAAGATGGCTTTAGCTCAGGCCATGATGGAGGACTCGGCCCAAATTATGAGGATGACTAGCCTCTTCCCTAAAGCTCACTATGCCGCCTAGGAGAAAAAATTCAATGCTTGTACTGAAAAGTACAACCAACAAATCATGAGGCAGGCGGCTGAGGAGGACGAGGCGGCCGAGTCCAGCTCAGAAGAAGTGGAGGAGGTGGCCCTGCAGCCTATTGAGGTGGATGCGTCCAAAGAAGCTGCCCCTGATGCCGGGACAAGTAAGAAGGATGCCTCTAAGAACTAGGCGTCCCTTACTAATCAGGCGGTAGTCAATACTGAAACCCTGCCTCAACCTTGAAGCTTCTATGTTCTTTAACTTTTCTTCGGCCTGTGTGCCGTTTATTTTTGTATCACTTTACCCGCCCAGGGGGCCGGGGTATTTGAATATTTTGCCGGTCTTTATGGCCGGCTGTTTATATGGATTCGGCGACCATCTTTTGGTCGTATTTGCTTATTGAATTTGCTTCGTACTTTATTTTGAATATTTTGCTAAGTGTCAAGGATCCTTGATATCCGCTTGCATGTCATGCCGACTGTTTTGTATGGCCGAAAGTTGCGAACAGGTACAATATGAGGGCTGCCTATGCCCCTGGACAACTGGTTGTCTTAGTTCCAGGTTAGGCGATTAGTTAGCCATTAATCCAATCGGACCCCAACATATTTTGGTGAATACGTTAGGTTTGCTTAACTTGAAACAAGTTAGAAAGGAAAATAGAAAAAGTTCTTGAGTCCTTGCTTGCTAAAAAGCAGTCGACCTGTGAACCAACTTTTCAAACATATTCGGTTTGAAGAGAAAACATCTTAGCAGGGTTAGGGTACGAGCGCTCTGGTTCGCCTTTAGGCAGGCAAACTCGTCATACCTTTTGAATCCTGGCTAAGTATGAGAGTGATTATGGGTAATCTTTGAGGTTACTCACTCGTCATGTTTATGCTTGAGTAGTGGAGGCACCAAGTGGCGTGGGCCGGCTAGTCCCCTTGATTCACCAATTTTGTTGGTTATTTACTCAAGATGCGATAACCTAGTAAGAATAGGGGTTTGAATGCTCCTGTTTAAGAAACAGTCGGTCTATTAAAAAACCTTTTAGATTTCGAACCAAGTTTTAGGGAGTGACTATAAGTTAACATTGATGTTACTTAGTCGCCGTCACTTTTGTTTGAGTAGTAGAGGTACCAGGCGGCGGAGGCCGGCTGGACCCCTTGATTCGCCAATGTTTGTTGGCTATTAACTCAAGAGGTACCGGCTGTACTTATCCCAAGTAATACAGTCGGTTATCCGACGCGGATGTTAATTGCTAACACTCATTGGATCAGTGATATAGTTATCCTTGTCTCAAAAACGGCTACGTGGTTGTCTTTGTGGACAGTCGCATAGGTGTCGTGTAATTAGTTTATTGAACAATGTTCCACCCAAAAGGGAGCTGCTCTCTGCGACGAATTTCATCCGGATGGATGCCGCCGGACGCCTGCTATGATGTTGGGACAGGTCGGATTAGTTTTTAAAAGTTGGATCAGTTGGCTGGGCGCCTGGTCTGATCATTTCGGCCATAGGCCTTAGGTAGTTCTTGGTTAAATAAGTATGGGAGAGTAGCTGGTTGTATAGATACAGGCGGCATGCCCCTCTTTATTGAATGCGTATTTAAAAAGTATGGAGAGTAGCCGACTGTTTTACCAGTAGGCATGCCCCTCTTAGTACAAAATAGATGAAGTGAAATAACAAACTTTTATTAGTAGCTCTCGGCTATTTACATCATTCAAAAATAATACTTTTTGAGATTATCTACATTCCAGGTTCGAGGCAAGGGTTGGCCATCTGGCGTTTCCAGGCGGTAGGTACCGTTTCGAACCTCTTCATAAATTCGGTAGGGTCCTTCCCAGGTGGGAGTTAGTTTGCCTGACTCATTAGCCCTACTGACTGCTTCCATTTTTCTTAGAACAAAATCACCCACTTTGAGTGGACGCCTATGCACTCTTTTATTGTATGACCTTGTCATTCTCAGGTGGTAGATTTCATGGCGTAGGGCCGCATTTCCCCTTCTTTCTGGAAGTGAGTCCAATGCCAGACGCATGGACTCCCAGTTCGCCTCTTCGTCATATAGCATTACTCGAAGAGTCGGCTCATAGTGTTCAATTGGAAGAACAACTTCTGCGCCATAAGCTAGGAGGAATGGAGTTTCTCCAGTCGACCCTTTTTTAGTCGTCCTAATGGCCCAGAGAACATGTGGTAGTTCATCTTCCCATAGGCCGCCTGCCCGTTCAATCTTCTTCTTAAGACCGTCTGAGATGATTTTATTAAAAGCTTCTACTTGGCCGTTTGCTTGAGGGCGACCGACTGATGCAAAGTAGTGCGAGATGCCTTGATCTCCCAGCCAATTTTTGAGAAAATGCATCTCAAATTGGGGACCATTATCAAATACCATAGACATGGGCACCCCAAACCGAGTGATGACATTTTTCCAGATGAATGAAATCACATCCTTCGTCTTGATTCCCTTAGCAGCCTTTGCCTCTACCCATTTGGTAAAGTAGTCGACTGCAACAAGTATGTACTTCCTACCGCCTGTAGCAGGCGTATAGGGACCCAGAATATCCATGCCCCACTTAGCAAACGGTAGTGGGCTATGGATGGCAGTGAGATC